AAATCATAACAATTAAAAGTGCATAGAGAGAGTAATAAATAGGTAATTAAATTTCAAGAAGTTTAAAATAAAAGGTTGAAAAAAAGAATTAGATAAACAACATATATTGAAAATTGAAAACATATAAATAATAAATGGGCCCAAATGAGATCAAACTTTTTGGCTAATAAAGTAGTAGGTAATTAATGGTGTTAAATTGTCCAATAATATAAATTTTAAAGGTACAACCGTAAAAGAAGAATGTACAACACTATGAATCACATATCATCCAACACTTGTCATATGCTAAGTAGTAGATATTCCCACTTATTATATATATAGTAATATAAAGGAGAAACATAGAGAAGGTAATGTGACACCTCTCTATGGCTTCCATTTCAATTTTTCTTTTTTTTGGGGTTTTGTTGAGATTTTTTTTATTTAAATTAATTATGTTATTATAAAAGTAAATCACTTAATTATTACAAATTAATATTTTATTAATGAAGAAACACTTACAACTAAGACTCTTCACATGCCAAATTATAAAAACTCTATAGCCAACAATAGTGTTTATCTTTTTTCTCAAATTTAAATATATTTTCTCCTTTAATTTATTTAATACAATTAATTAAGCCCACGTAGTTTATCAATTAATACAATTGATATGCTATATCTATATCTTCTTTACCTATGTTTTCCCATCATATTTGCTTATATATTTTTATACCATCATAACTCATAACTCATAACTCATCTACTTAATTTTCCCTATTAATTATATTTATAATTCTCGTAATTTTCAACTTTTCATAGTCATAACCACTAAATAATTAATGTAAAAGTTAAGACACCTTATGGTATTCCTTCATTTTTTTCCTATATAAATTCATTTTTTTATTTCTAAAGATTCAATTCAAAGTTACCATTTATTTTCACTATTATATTATATTCATGCTTTTGTTTGACTTGAATAACAAGAAGAAAACTCTTGAATAGTGATAGTCTTGTGAAGTGAATATCAACAAGAGCTCACACAATTATGTATTGATTTCATTTTCCTTCTATTTTTTATGATTAAAGTTGTAATGATATAAGTATTTTATTTTTTCTTTCTTTCCTTTCTTATATATTACTATGATGCCTCTTAAGTTTAATATATATAGATTTATGATTGTTGTAAGTCTATAATTTTTCTTGATTCAAAGTAGTATTTTAAAATGGAGTAGATCCTGAAGAGATATTACTTTCCTATGAATTTACCTCAATTATGATTGAAATTCGACTATAAGTACTAACCATGTTTAAATTTATAATTAATTTTCGTTTGCTCAAATCAGTAACTTAATTATGTTTTAAAGTGCTAACTACTAATCAAGTTTTAAAATTTATAACTGATTGCGTAAAAATAAATTTTAATGATTGAAATATATTTTTCATTTGATATTTATTATGTTCAAGTTCTTCGAACTATCAAGAATTATGACATGACATGAAAATTGATAAATATAAAGTAACGGGAGGGAGGGAGAGTGAGGTAATTCTAAAGAAATTATATGTGCATTAACAAACTCAAAAACCTTATCCATTCTTTAATTTTCTTTTTACTTTGACAAATAGTATATTTATGTGATTTATTTTTAATTTTTTTTATACATTGTAAGAATAAATATTGTGTTCTTTTAAAAAAATAATAAATACATCACATGTAATTTTCTTACGTTTTCCTTTGTGGAATCAAATTGTATGTCTGTGCACATTTATAAAAAGATATTATTATTTTATTTTATATAATTTTTTATGTAAGGAGAAATTCTTGAAAAATATTCAAAAACCCAACTTAGATTTATATATATTAAATATAATATTAGATAAATATATTATCATATTTATAAACACCTCTTTCATATAATAATAATATTTAATAAATTATCTATTTTATATGACCGCGCGAAGCGCGGATGAATTCACTAGTTATATTATAAGTGGAAAGCTTCCAAGTCAAAAGTTGAATTACGAAAATGTCCTTATAATGTCATAATATTGATGAACAAAAATGTAAATATAGATTAATTATTAATAAATATTATCATATTCTATGAAATGCTAGTCTTATATATTTATGAACAAAAATATAAATAATAATAATATTCTAAAATGGAAAACCCCATAATATTACTTCAAGTTTTCGGAAGTTAAAACACAACTTATGACATGAATTAATATAAATACAATGAATATTTGTATTATTAAATGATAGAAGAAAATCAAAAAAATTGCAATATTTAAACAAATCTCGTTAGATACTCCTACCGCGCAAAATTATAAAAAAAAATCAATGAATTATATTCATAAATTATCTTAAATGCTAAGTAATAGCTACAATAAAATTGTTGCAAAATTTTTGATTTCCTTCCATCATAATTAGCATAAATTAATGATGAATTTTCTACTTGATAAATTAAATTTATCTCATATAAATGAACATTTAGCATATAACTAATTCTCACTATTTGGATGAAACAATATAATATATCGTAGGTGTAAACTTACCAGGTATGTAACAAAAATTCAGCCTTTCATGTTTAAATATGAGTCATTTAGTTATTATTTCTAAAAAAAATTATTGTGCTTTTTATGTTGTGCTTCTCACATGAATGAAAGAATAAGATAATTTTGTTTGGAATGTTAAGAATATTGTCGTCACATATAGTTTCTCAAGCTTTTGGTATCTCAGTAATACTCAATAGTGTAGCAATATTTATCGTCTTCTTATTTAGCTA